GCTGTGCTGTGCTGTGCTGTGCTGTGCTGCTTGAGCCAAAGCAAAGCGGTGCGGTGCAGTGCAGCCGGGCGCTGACTGGGGTGCAGTGCCGTTTGCGCACAGAGCACCTCTTCTCGACCGACGTGGCGGCTTCCAAATCCAAACGCTCGCTGGCCAGCTGCCTGGGAAATTCGAATTTCGAGCTTCGACGCGTTGGGGATGAAGTGCGATCGAGTGTTGCTTTTGATCGAAGCTCTCCGTCTTCCGGCCGTCTTCTCTCGGCCTAGTCAAGACTGCCTCAGTGGCTCCCTCCAGCGACGCGCGTCACCCGCACCCGCTGCTCCACTTTGATTCTCTCTTGATTCGCTAGCAGCTGGCTACCTCGGTCCTCCTTCACCACCGCATACCCCGTGTCCCACACACACACAGCCATGGCCGACCCAACACCATCCACATCGACGCAGCCGCCTGCCGAGTCCGTGCTCTCCACGGATCCGGCCAAGGACAAGGCGCTCAAGGCGTACAAGAAGGCGCTCAAGCAGCACGAGGAGCTCTCCGAAGGGCTCAAGAAGCTGCGCTTCGGACTCAAGGACCTCGACAAGGCGTACGACAAGACCGAGGACGACATCAAGGCGCTCCAGTCCGTGGGGCAGATCATCGGCGAGGTGCTCAAGCAGCTCGATGAGGAGCGCTACATTGTCAAGGCCTCGTCCGGTCCGCGCTACGTGGTGGGCATCCGCGCGAGCGTGCCCAAGCACAAGCTCAAGCAGGGCGTGCGCGTGTCGCTCGACATGACGACGCTGACGATCATGCGCATCCTGCCGCGCGAGGTGGATCCGCTGGTGTACAACATGAGCATGGAGGATCCGGGCGCGGCGAGCTTTGCCGGCATCGGCGGACTGTCGGACCAGATCCGCGAGCTGCGCGAGGTGATCGAGCTGCCCCTGCTCAATCCGGAGCTCTTCATGCGCGTGGGGATCAAGCCTCCCAAGGGTGTCTTGCTCTACGGTCCACCGGGTACGGGCAAGACGCTGCTGGCGCGTGCGGTGGCAAGCACGCTCGAGACCAACTTTCTCAAGGTGGTCTCGAGCGCCATTGTGGACAAGTACATCGGCGAGAGCGCACGTCTGATCCGCGAGATGTTTGGCTACGCCAAGGAGCACGAGCCGTGCATCATCTTTATGGACGAGATCGACGCGATCGGGGGACGACGATTCAGCGAAGGCACCTCGGCGGATCGCGAGATCCAGCGCACGCTCATGGAGCTGCTCAACCAGATGGACGGATTCGACTACCTCGGCAAGACCAAGGTCATCATGGCCACCAACCGGCCCGACACGCTCGACCCTGCGCTCATGCGGCCGGGACGTATCGACCGCAAGATCGAGATCCCGCTGCCCAACGAGCAGTCGCGCCTCGAGATCCTCAAGATCCACACCAAGCCGGTGGCCAAGAAGGAGGAGCTCGACTACGAGGCCATCGTCAAGCTCAGCGACGGATTCAACGGCGCCGACCTGCGCAACGTCGCCACCGAGGCCGGCATGTTTGCCATCCGCGACGACCGCGACTACTGCGTGCAGGAGGACTTTATGAAGGCCGTGCGCAAACTCCAGGAAGCCAAGCGCCACGAGTCCAAGATCGACTACAGTGCCGTCTAGATTCTCTCTCTCTCTCGTTTCCAGTGGCAATCCATACCACTTTGAGGCTATCAGTCGTGATCCAAAAAAGAGGCAAAATGCTGATGATTGATTAGGAGCATGCTAAGCGTGGCGCGCCAACTACGAATGGGGGGGCCCTAAGACGCTATTCAAGAAGAGGGATGGTGGGGGGAAGAAGAATTAATTATGCTATTTACATGCCGGCCTTTTCGAAGGCGGCGTCGATCTTTGCATCAATGACGTCCTTGAGCGACTGTTGGCCTTTAGCCTTGATGGTGAACTTTTGCGACTTGTTACCCGAATCGCCCATGACGACGACGATATAGTCGTTCCTCGACTGGAGATCAGCAGGCAGGGTGATGGTAGCCTCTTCGTCACGGATGAGGAATCCTTGGGCGAGTTGCCACTTGAGGTTGTAACCGCCCTCGCCGTTTGCGGGGAGGAAGCCGAGCTTGATGTTTCCGGTGTAGTTTTCGGCTTCCTGCGGGAGGTCCGAGGCGTCCCATGTGACCTGAACCGTCTCGCCAGCCGTCCAGACCGTGTTGGAGGTGGGCGAGGTGATGTGAGGGTTGTACACGATGCGCTTTTCGAGCTCGACCATCGTGTCGCGACCAAGCATGATGTTGTCCCACTGCGTCGCTTCGTACTGACGCTTGAGCATCATCTCGGCCTCCGAAGCACCGCCAAAGCTCGCCATGGGTGCACCCACCACCGACGAAATCAGCAGCGAGGCCGAGAGTAGGAGAGTAGAGAACTGCATCTTTGTGTCTTTGTGTGGCAGAGCGAGAGGTTGGATCACGAAGAGGAGAGAGTCGAGGAAGAGGGGGATCCCGTTGTGAGGAGCGAGAGAGAGGGGAGGAGGAGCTACGGGGGACCTCTTCTTTAAGGCATGCGACTAGGGAAGCAAGGGGGGGATCCATAGCTGTCAAACAGAGACGGACGCGGTTTGGGACGGGCGGTGCGGAATGCATGGCCACCTGCCTGTTTCGCCTTGCTTTGACCCTGCCTTCGCTAACGATCAGTGCGCTCGACAGGCCAACACGGAACCTCGTCCCGGGCTGGACCTCGAAGCTCTAGCTCCGTTTGGACGCGCATGGTGGGGGGGCGCGGCTTTCCGACGCTGACTCTGGTTGCCATCGGCCTGGCTCTCTTGCTGCACGCTCGGGCGTTTGCGAGGCCTTCTGGAATGGACGCGCTGCTTGGCGGATGGGCTAGCGTGTCTGAATGTCGTCAATCTGCACCTCGCCTTGGCCCTCGAACCAAAGAGGCAAGGGAGGCGAGGCGATGCAATGCAGGTGCAGCACGCGCCGACAGGGTCTAATGCGGGCGCGCCGTGTCGCCTCCATGCCAGCCGATGCGGCGCTTGGAGCGCGCATCTGCTTGCCCAGCCGCGTGTGTTCTTTGGAACGGCACGCGCCGCCCGTCTGCCTGCTGCTGCTGCTGCTGCTGCTGTTGCTG